TTTTTTTTATGATTTTTTGTTTTGATGTTCAAATAATTTATGTGTTTCAGAAATGTCATCTGAATCAAAAAAAATATACAATAATTTATCAAACAATGCAAAATTAATACTGAGGGTAAATTGGTCATTTATGTTATTAAGACTGTTTGATTCAGATGAAAAAAAGTAAACAACACCACCCATTTATCCAGACAGAAAAATTTATCCATACATGACTTAATAAAAAATTTGGTAAACAACCGCTTACTATGTTTTATATACGGATGAGATCTGTACCTGACTGGTATCGAACCGTAAAACTAGTATTGAATCATCGGATACCGAATTTTTATGGGACTAAAAACTAGGATCGAAAACCGAACTGTATGTACAAATTCGGTATTGGTTTGGTTTGGTAACAGGAAAATCGGTACTAGAAACACTTACGATCGAAAAATAAAGGTAGGTTAAGAAACAATTAAAAGTTCATAATGTTTCAAATGTGTACCAAAACCAATTGTAAAAGTTTAAACAATTTTTTGAAGTGCTCGACAGTCGATTTTTTATTTATTTATCAAAGTAATATTTATAGAGAAGGTTTTAGGAGAAAATATGGATTGGTTTATGAGAAGATAGAGATCGAATACCAAAACTGTGACCCCTTAAATTCTGGGTCCGGTTCAGATTTATTTTTCACGAAAATCTTGATACTGAAACCGAAATACCGAAGTTATAGTAACAGTAGAACGGATAACTGAACTGATTACATGAATTCGGTCCGGTTTCGTTCAGGAATACGGTCCTCGAGTCTCATCTCTAATTTAATATGGACGAATTGCATTAAAAAGTAACGTATAGTACTTTAGTTTTATTTTGATTTGAGCAACATATTTTTTAGAACTTTCATTTTGATATCTAAAATTTCAAACTTTTAAATAGCTGATTTACGTAATAACATGCAAATGATGACTAGGATCAGGATTTTTTTTACGTGACATTATTTATTTATTTTTAAATATTAACTAAGAAAATAAATTCCATGTCATTATTTTAAGAAAATGTATATTACTTATTTTTTAATTAAGCCAAAAAAAAATCCATATTTTTATTTTTAAAATTCTAAATTTTGTCACGATTTTCTTTAAAATTAGAAAAGAAAAACAGATTAACGCAATCTTTTTAAATAGTAAATTTTTATTTATAAAAATGACTGTAAAACTTATTAAAAAAATTAATTGATTATAATTTTTGAACATTTTTAGGTATATCTTTTTACCTCATTATATTGACAAATAAAAAAAATCAAAATTTTTAAATATTTACAACAATTGGTAAATATTCAAAAATTAATAAACAAAATACAAAGTAATATAATAATGAAGTTTCAGACGTAATAACACCACGATTAAAATCCTTCTCATTCGGAACTTAGATTTTAATTAAATAATGTCTTTTTATTATTTTCCATATCATTTTTAAAAAATACATGTCATCTTTAGTTACCGGTTACCTGAAGTATATGTAAAGCAGATACTTAAAAATTCGAGATATCACATATCAGATACAAAAAAAGGTTTTGAAAGTATGTTACTTTTTTATATAATTTACCATTTATTAAATCCTCCTCTATTTGTTGTAGGTTGATTATACTAAAATCAATTAAAAAAATAATGATATAAAGTTATCAACACATGCAAACATGATTATATAATCATCATAAATAATTAAACACACGTGCCCTGAAAAGCTTTGAGATTTAAACAATTGAACACTGGGATCATATATCATTTCCCAGTCGCATGTTACGATACTTTTGGTTTTTTATTTATCGAAACTTTTCAAGAATCATATCTCAATATAATTTTATTTGCCAAATAACCTTTCTCAACGTGGTTGTATTTATAATAAAGACTCAAGTTTAGTATTTATAGATTCTTGAATTTGCTTGCAAGAATCGTCCCTAACCTTAACATTCGTTAAAATCTTCTGCTACTATCTCATGTATTTGTCAGGTGAGGGTCATTCTAGTCATTTATAGATTCGTTCCCTTTAACACGATAGTTCACACAGTAAACAATGGTTTAATATCATAAATGAAAACGTCAATATACCACATTTGTATGATAAAACACAATAACATATGTTGCAACGGTTGATTGCGCTTATGGTTACACACACTTGTGACCAAATCATCGGGCTACACACATGCCCTTATTACATAAAACGAATTCATGTGCTCTATTTGGGTACACACCCCTCGTCGATCAAGACTCCACTACACACACATAAAAGAGTTATACTTTAAAATAATCAATGATTGAATATAAAACCAGCAAAATGAATTTCAAAGTAATTAGCAATATCAACATGACTAGCAAGTGGCCATTTGCCAAAAACTGTAACAACCGGAATTTTTATAATGTAATTAATCAGATTTTGATCAATTCTTAATCTGGATCACAGTCGTTATTTAAATTCAAATGTCTAGTTACTATGTTTGTAGGTTTAAGCCTTGCAAACTAGACCTTGAATCAGGCTTCGAGTGAAGCATTTAAGGCTTCTGCATGGGTTTCGCGATCCTTGCGTCACATGGCATGGTCGCATTTTATGTTCCGTAAGTTGGGAGTTTTTGGCTTATGCGACCCTCATAACCACGACCGTTGCACTGCAAGGCCATGATCGCATTTCTTATATCGTAGGTTGAGTCAGGGACGTAGGCGACCCTTGTGCTGCAACCCTAGGGTCTATTTTTTTTATTCCGCCACTACCCATGGAAATCGGGTCTCCTCGTCATTATAAGATGTATTTTGGACCTTATCGTATCTAATTGGAATGTATGAACTTCGATCTTAAATCAACCTTATAAACCTCAACTATTTTGAGTTATTTGCATTGATTATAAATATTTGTTCTCACTAGGCGTTAGGCCTAATACTTTTTCTTAAATAACATGTATATCAGGTTCTCTTACCGGTGTGGCTCCGAATTCTTGAGCAGAGTGTTTGGATGCTGGTAGATGCACTTTTAGGGTCATTATCTTTTCGCCAAGTCAGTGTTATTATTTGACATGATTCTTTTGAAGGTGACAGTGACACTCCTCCTTAACCTTAACCTAAACTACATTAGGTTGTTATTTATCCTTTAATATCTTTGGGTTGTAAAGCTATAGGATCTATTTTTATGACGAATTTTGGTTTAAGTTTACTCCTATTTTATAGGTGTTACAAAATGGTAAGAGGAAACTCACTTGAGGTTCAAGCCTAAATATGCACTTTTAGGCTAGGATCACACCAACCGAACACTTGAATTGGGCCATTCAAACGATGAGTTAATACTCCAATTACAACCTTAAATGAACCACTAGAGATCTCCCCAAGGTAAGGACCCAAAATACAACCCTAAACCGCGACCTAAGCAAAACTTAAAGACAGAGACACAGTGAGTTACATGACCTAGATCGCGGTAATACCCGCAAGACTCACTTTGTCCCTCTGCATCCCTGCTCAATCTCTACCGCTCTATGCCCAGATTTTCACCAAATCTACTTCAAACAAGTCGAGGATTCATACAAGGATTTACGTAATATCACACCACACTCCCCTCTAATCCAAACTAATCATCAATCCAGGGATTCACTTACTGATTTGATATGATTTTACCATTGCATGAGGTTTTGCATCACTTTCATCCCAAAACACAATAAAAATTCGGTTGAAGAGTATGATTTTACCTACACTAATGAGATCGTTTACAGAATAAAAATACACCTACGATGGCGAATGTAACCTATCAACATTGAAATATGAAACAATGATAACTAAACCTAATCATGTGTTTAGTTGACATATATTGAAATAAAATAATGATAAACGACGAAAATACTCCTTTATGACAGTTTATATATTATTGCTTAAATTACAAATACTTCATAATAATACAATCAATTAGTGGTGGGGGTGGCATTAACGACAACGATGGAACTGGTGATTGAGGTGGTGGTGGCGGCAACGACGATATTGGCAATATTGGCGGAGGCTAGAGGTGGCAGTAGTTGTAATGGTGGCAGTGTGGTGTCGACAATCATGTTGGGATGGAATAGATTAAAGTTGATATCATGTTAGTCTTCTCAAAATGACGATGAAAATGAGTGGTATTCCTTAGTAAAACCCACAAAATCTAAATTTCGAGATTGGAACTTCGCACCAAGATTTGAAGAATGAACAATCGAAATTTGGTCAATGCAAGTAACAGTTCCAATTCTTTCAGATTTCGTCGAATTCAGAAAACCAAATATCACCTAATATTTAATACGATTTTAATTAAATAAAACACACTCCTTCCTACAATTTGACTTAGAATCGGGTTACCCTAACCTAACAAACACACGACCAACCATAAATATTTGAATTTGTTTGAATTGTCTATTTTACCCATCATAAAAATTATAGTGTTGAATTTATAGATAAATTTATAAAATTTCATATATTTATTCTTCATCATTACAAAATTTACATTTATATTATATAATTAGCATTCATTTAAAGGAAAATATGTCTTTGACGGTATTCATCACATTTACATCCTATTAAAATTCATCAATTGAAAGAGGTGAGGATCGATTTGGTAAAGATCAATCGAGAGAAACGATCAATTAAAGGTTGATCGATTAAGAAACATCCTTATTAAATCCGTCCGTTACCTGGCTTTCCAGTAAGACTCTGGGTACACGTCATTAATAAAATCAATGGTTGGTTTTGATTTAATTTGGTTATACATAAACTATTTATGACAAATAACATTGCATGCATTTAGGCCCAGTTTACCAAACGCTTACATTATCGGTAAAACTTAACACTATTATTTACTTATCTGGTAAAATTTTAGTCCACCAAAATAACAGCGTATGCAACAATTTACCTGGTAAACGCTTATCGTGGTAAGAGTCGTCGCTCTCACTTAGTTGGTAAGACTCTTGATCCTTGTCCCGTTCTTACTAGGTAAGATTTTTAGTTTTTATCATATTCATCCAGTAAGGTAACGTGACTTAGCAAGCGCTTGCCCAAATATGCATTTGATAAACAGCTCATTAGAATTCACTCCTTATGCAATACAAGCAAAAACATCAAAGCTTTGATATAACCAACATATTTTAAGGTACGCCGTATTGGTTGACGGTATCGGTGGCTGTAGCCGGAGCTCCGGCGGGATCACTACCCTTCTGCGGTTGAGAAGGAAGTGTACCACCGCCTGAAGTGGGGGCGTCGGTGGAGGCAGCTGCTCCACGGCCAGGCTGCGGCTGTTGGTGACCCTGAGTGCCATATCCTTGTTGCTTGTAGTCCTCCAAGTCTTTGTATTGCGTATACGGACTGCTGTTCACCGGCAAATCTTCCGATTTCTTTCCTTCCTGTCGGCCGTCCATCTCTCTAGATTTCTAGGGTTTCTCTCTCTAGAAGTTGATATATATATATAGATAGTGTTCGACGTTGTCACACTCACAGAGTTTTTCTTAAATTATGACACGTGGTGTCCACGTGGCGTAGTTTCATAAGAGGTGTAGGATGCAGCGTGTTTTGGATCTGGATGGATTGAGATAAGTAATTAAGTAAGATAGTGGTGGGGATTTTACATTTTGATGTTTGAAATGCTTAAATTTACGAGGGCAATTTATTGGTTTTTGCAATAAATATTTAAATTTATATAAATTAAGTTATTAGTAAAACTACGATTTTTATGGTTTATGTTACAAGCAATTCTAAGATGGTAATATCTAATATCCCCAAGTAGAGATACATCAGATTATTGACACGAAGTGATATCCATGGGTCCTTCGATGATTTGGTTTTGACGTTGAATGTATGCATACTCGGATTGAATCGATGCCAGATCAATCTTGCGGTCCGTCTTTAGGTCACCACAAAACTTTATCGAGAAACATAATAGTGAACGAAATGGAGATTGACAATGTTCAATGTCTTGCGTTCACACAGATATTTGTAATAAAAGGATATTCGATCACTTACCTTTAGGACGGCTTAATGCAGAAATTGAGTCATGGATAACTAACCAAATGTTGAAGTGTAATATTCAGTTGTTGTGACATGTGCAAGTGGGAGTCTGTTGGAGATATGCACATATACACAACAAGATAGTTAATAGCATAATGCTATTGGGTCACACACAAAGTTCAATTAATATAAAAGCAAGAAACGATATTTGAGGGATTAACGGGTAATTAATTAACTAAAATGACTAATTAGTTATTAGTCTAAACATTTTGTGGGCTTCATTTAGAATGGGTCGTTGCCCATTAGGATTAGGGTTTTAAGATTGAGTTTTATATAAAGTTAATCTCCTAAACCTAATTAGCCAACAATCATTTACGGCTGCTCTCTCCTTTCTCAAAACCTAAAATCGGCGCCTACTCTAAAAGGTAGCCGAAAACCTAAAATGAGGAGATGGTTTCATTTGCAAGCGACACCATTACGATAAACTTTGCAAACTCATCTCTGTTTTTGATTTCATTGATAAATGGTTGAAAATGAATATAGGTTATTTCTGTTAAGAAAAAATTTAATAGATCCAATAAAAAAAAGTAAACGTTAAGACAATAAATCGGAATAAGAACAAAATTCTTAGATAAAAAAAAAACTGAAAAAATACCAACAGATTTCTCTATAGCTGCTTGATCAACTTCATATATCGCAAAAGAACAAACCGATTGAGGAACCTCATTCTCCACAATAGAATTCTGTTTCTCGTTCCTAGCAATCGACGCAACAAAGGAAAGATCAAAATGATTCATCATTCTCAAATACATCACGAATATGGGTTTCGTTTAACGAAACACACTCAAAACCAGTAGCCGCATTTCTAACATTAAATCTGCAGTCTTTAGAACTTCAATCCTAGACGAAGTTTAGATTAAAATAATAAATCATATTCGAAACAGTTATCAAAAACATCATAAATATCCCTGTAAATCTGGTGAATTGATTAATAAATAACGACTATAAATAACTCAAACGATCCCTCGATAAATGAATCATTCATATAGAACCTTATGATCATTAACGAATTAAAAAATACCGGACTTTTACCGAAAGAGGAAGTTCATAGTGATAGTTACACTCATCTTTATGTATGTTATCTTATGCACTTGATTTCAGCTCATCCAATAACGTATAATTTTATCTGAAAGAAATATGACAACTTTTTGAATAATACTTGATACGTTTTTTCTATATAAATTGAAACAATCATGATTACATTTTATATCATTTAAATTTTTTAACAAATATAAAAATAAATTTCACTAATTAAACTTTATTATTAAACGTCAAATAAATACACGGAAACCATCATAATGTACCACTAGTGTATGACGTTAATTTCTATTAAATTCCCTTGTTAAGTTCTTTTACGGTGTTCTGAAATGATCAAAATGCCCCTCACGTGATTATCACAAATCATTTGACGGCATTTTATTGAGAAGTTTAATATAAATTAATGTGCGAACTAATAATGAAAACAAATAAAATGTATGGGTTTTTTTTATATGAAATTAAAACAAGGATAATAATTGAGAGAGTTTTATGGATCATTTACCAAACACTTACTCAGTAAGTATTTATCGTTAAAATTTGATACTATCATTTACTTACCAGTAAGTTTTTAGTCTATCAAAAACGACATCGTATGGAATAATTTACCTGGTAAGCTTTTACCGTGGTAAGACTGTCGCCTTCACTTACCGAGTAAGACTCTTGGTTTTTTGTCTCGCTCTTATCAGTTAAGATTCTTTGTCTTTATCATATTCATCCGGTAAAACAATATGACTTAATAGGTGCTTACTTAGATAAACGTTTGATAAACGATCTCTTATTAAATATCATAAACGATTTACGTAATTCATTTTTTATTTAAAATAACAAATAGACTTGGCTTCATAGTAATTTAATTATTTAATTATTTAATTATTTACAAATAATAATACAACATGAATTATCTTCTCTGAACCCCATCACCCATTAAACGGTACGAAATAATAATAATAATACAATATCAATTATTCTTCACATAAAGGAACCCATGACCCACCCCACTCAAAACCCATCACCATTAATCGTACATTTTTTTTTCAAATTTTAAGTATAAAATAATAACATTTTATTTAAAATATTCAACACTTATATCAATATCATTAGATTTATTCAAACTTATAAATATGTGTTTATTAGATGGATTTGATTTGATCCAATCATTTAATCTGATTCCATTAACATTAAACAATCGATCTGATCCAATGGATGATCAGATCACATCAATGTCATTCAGTAGATGTTACTAGTGGTTATTTATATGTCAATAGACTACGGATTATGTATAACAATATATTATATGTCAATTCATTCAATACATGCATTTGTTTACATGACTACCTCGTTGAAAATAATGAATAAATGGATACTTTAAATGATTAGCCCGTTGAATAATATGAATAACTTTTCATTTTACATATGATTAATCCGTTGATTCAGTCCACTCTGTCTATCGACTTTTTGCACATGGGATTTTGAAAAGTATCAAGTGATTTAATTTTTTTTTCCTTGTGACTTTGATATTTGATCCATTATTGTACTCGTTCCATACAAATCATTATCTACCAGTTGATTTGACATTTTTAAATTGGCAAATCTGGAGGAGTTTATGGAATGGAATGATGGAAATCGTGCTAATTACTAAACAAAGAAAAATCCTTAACAGAAACAAACTCGTGCTAATTACTAAACAAAGAAAAATCCTTAACATAAACAAACAAACTATCACAAATACGATTACGTGACGCAAGTACAACCAATTCTGATATAAGATGACCACCAGGTTGCAGCATATTGATCATTTTCTCGGGTGTGAATGTAAGCACGACTAAAATGCTAAGATTCAACTACAGTTACTTTAGATCACTAGTGGTCGTTCATGGGATTAGTCAGTGGTCAGAAGATGATCCATATATTAACAGTTACAAAAATATATTGATTCAGTATTAATCCAAATCCGACTCATAACCCGAAAACCAACGCTTACATGATCCGTTCCATTGAAAATATTTTTTCATTCATAGCACGATCAAGATATGACAATAATTATAAAACACATGTTTGAATTCAATTTCAAATCTTTTATCAATTATTTTTTCTATATTAATTTTAGAAAAATAAATTGACTTTAAAATATTTCCAAGTAAAATTTTCAGTTTTATTTAAAAAAAAAAGTAATATTCTTCATGTTTTCTATCACAAAATCAACTCAATTTCCCTAATTAAACACGTATAAAAAAATAAAAATAAACAATATAATATTAATTAAATTAAAAATCACAAAAAAGGAAATAAAAAAAGTTGATATTTATGAGCAATCACCAACACACTCTCCTTTTGGGAGTGTCTTTGAACAACTTGTTAAAGAGGAACATTAATTTCCTATCCATCACCAACTAACGGCTACCGGACTTCCGACGATATGTTTCCCGTCCGACCACTCAATCCGGCCAAACACGTTTGAGCTCACCGGCATTTGACCCGCCGTGAATGTCACCGTGAATGATTTCTTCTCATTGACTTGACTGAAAGTCAGCGTTTCAGGAACCACCGATATTTGTACGGAATTGCTATCGGAAGATGTGGAAACTTTATAGGTTGATGACGCCGGTCCGACGTTGGTTAGGGTTCTGGTGTGTTTAACGACGGTGGTGGAACCGCTTTTGTGGCTTGAATCCGACGGAACGACGACAGCGAATGAAGGGTAGTTCAGATCACCGACTCTGTAGGTTTTGGAAGAGTCGCAGGTGGTGTTTCTTTTGGTTACCAATTGAATCTGCGCCGCCGTGTAATTCAATGCACAGAGGAAATCGGAATAATCATCGGCGGTGATGTCGTAAACCAGCCCGGGATTGAGGGCGGATACAGGGTCGACGTGACCGGCGCCGTGATCGAACGGAGTAGATGGTTTGCCGGTGGCAAGATCTTGGATTATTTTTCCGTTTTTGTATGCGGTGTAAGCGGTGGTCATCAGGGCTGATTTGATCGCCGCTGGGCTCCAATCTGGATGCGCCGCCTTGAGCAACGCCGCTAGTCCGCTCACGTGAGGACAAGACATCGACGTCCCAGATATAATGTTGAACTCCACGCGCCGGCTATCATCCGCCAGTCCGGTGGGTCCCACCGCCCCAGTCCACCCCGCTAAGATGTTGACACCTGGGGCCAACATGTCCGGTTTTAAAATCTCCGGCGTGATGGTGTTGGGACCTCGGGAACTAAACGATGCCACCACCGGCGATGGTTGGATTCCCAATTTTGTACCTTCGAATAAAATTGTAGCCGTTGGATTAGAATCTGATATCACATACTTCCGAATCTCGTCGCCGGATTTTTGACCGACGGTAGATGCTGGTAAGAGATGTGCGTCGGCCACCAGCTCTTCGCCGTTCGCAGCAGTGTTGGTCAATACCATTCCGGCCCCACCAGCTTCTTTCACCACCGAACCCTTTTGAACCCTTGCGTTAACCCCACGGTCGCAAAGTACGATCTTCCCCTTCACCATCTCTGGTATCAAAGTCCCCGGCATACAAAGAGCACCACTCGTCGAATTACTAGCGTTACCGGCGTAGACAAATGGCAGCATCTTATTGGGCAGTGACGGACCTCTGTACAACGACACACCGGAGTAGTTTTTCCCGTTCCCAAGGCTGACATACGCCGGAAAGTCTCGATCTAAAGTCCCGGCACCGACGGTCGTTATCCATGGCGACAAGTTTGATAAACTGTATGAAGTGGGCCCTGCATTACCGGCAGAACAAGAAACCAAAATACCCTTCTCCATCGCCGCGAATGCTCCGATAGCCACGCTGTCGCGGTAATAATCTGCCGTACCACCTCCGAGTGACAGCGAGAGTACATTAACGTTGTCGGTGATCGCTTTTTCCATAGCTGCGAGTATATCGGAGCTGAAACAACCACCGACCCAGCAAACTTTGTAAACCGCAACCCTAGCTCTGGGAGCCATCCCACGGGCTGACCCGGTGGCGTATCCTAATAAGTTTGCTCCGGAGACAACTGACCCACCGGTGGTGGTGGAAGTGTGGGTTCCATGGCCGTCGTCGTCTCTTGGAGATCTGTTCTCCTTCGATTGATCGATTGGACCCAAAGTCGCTTCGTATCCATTAGCGAAAAACCTTGCTCCGATCAACTTACGGTTACAGCTAGAAGCAGTGAAGTTGGTACCAGTTTCACACGCGCCGTTCCACGCGCTGGGGACAGGCCCCATGCCTGTATCGTCAAAGCTCTTACTCTCCGGCCAAACGCCGGTATCCAAAATCCCAATAATGACGTCACCCTGCCCGTTAGCCTGCGGGAACAAATTATCGTACTGATCGAGGCCGAGAAACTCCGGGGTGCGTGTGGTGTGGAGCTCGTATTTCAACTCCGGCAAGACGGAGAGAATCCCGGGTAGGTTTTCAAGTGATTCAGCTTCTTGAACAGTGAGCCTGGTTGAGAAGCCATGGATGACGTGTTGGTAAGTGTAGATGGTCTCCGCCGTTTCCGACACCGACTTAAGAGACGACTGAAACCAATCGATATGATCATCCCCAAAAGTCGCCGGGATGTGGTGTCTGGCCATATGAACAATGTAAGTGTTCTTGTCGGCGGCGAACGAAAGACAGCAGAAACCCATGAGCAGAAAAAGGAAGGTGATGATGTTGATATCCATGGCGGTGGAAATAATGGAAATGGAGAAGAAAAGCTTAAAGTTGCAGGAACGTTATATAGAGATGGAGGAGTGAGTGAGGTTGGAATAGCTGTAAAAAAAAGTGGGAGAGGTTGCAGAGGGTGGTGGGGACGGTGGCTCTCTGTATAATTGCTTTAAAACAAAAGAGATGACAGATAGCTTTATATATAGGCATCTTGCTGTGGTTAAACACACATACACCTTACTCTTACCGGTTTAAATTTAATCATCATTAAAGTTAGAGATAATTACAATTTTGGTCCTTGTGGTTTACATTAAACTACGAAAAGTGTCCATGTACTTTATTGATTTGAGTACAGAAATGGTCGTTACAGTTTGCTTTGAAAAGAGTCTCTTCTTCTAACGTTGTTAGAAACAGTGTTAAGTGGGGTATTTTTGTTTTTTTAAGGGTTGTTTGATAATTGTTGAATGGTTTGGTGTAGAATGATTAAGGGATTGTTTGTTTATCTCTTAATAGTTCCATTAAGATGCAACATTTGAATCGTTAAGAGGTGAATTTTGTTTGGCAAAAAAAAAAAAGTCTACCTCTTAATGATTCTAAAACCCTCTTAGATCTCCCTTAACCATTAAGAGGCCTAATTTCATCGTACACAATTACCAAACAATTATATTTCATTTTGCATTATATCATGAGAGTCTCTTAATCATTCTGATCACTTAATTATTCTGCATCAAACCATTCAGCAATTGCCAAACATCCCCTAAGTGGTCAGAATAATTAAGAGGTTCTTATGATTTAGTGTAAAATGAAATATAATTGTTTGGTAATTGTGTACAATGAAATTAGGGCTCTTAATGGTCAAGGGAGATCCAAGATACAAATTCATTCAAAGGGTTTTGGAACCATTAAGATGCAGACTTTTTTTTGCCAAACAAGATTCATCTCTTAACGATTCATATGTTGGCTCTTAATGGAACTATTAAGAGGTAAACAAACAACCCCTTACCTTTTTTTTGAATTCTTGTTTTGGCTTTTACACGTTATTGGACCCCACCCACCCACCCACCCACCCCACTCATCGAATCTGTTTCCGACATTCTTTGATCTATGTTTGACATCTCTTCAAGCATTCCCGCAACTCCACGAAACATCACTACTCTCTAACACCACCCCCCTCACCCATTGGCTGGAGATGAAGGTTCAACTAACGGCAGTTAGACTAACGATGTTAGAACAAGAGACCTCTTTCAAGTCAAAATACAAACTGCGGTGACCATTTACGTACTTATTAAATCACCGAGATATTTTTCCTAGTCTTGTGTAAACAACATGGACCAAAATTGTAGTTTAGTTTTAAATTTAATAGTGAATTACAGTTTTAGTCCCTATCTTTTGTTCAAATTACAACTACAGTTACGATCTTGGTTCCGGAAGTATTCAATTTGTCTACGACCATGGTGCCGCATGCTCACGTCATTTATTTTGGTCTCGTTAAACCTCTCGAGTGCTTTGCACACCACATGTCTATAATCGGAATTAAAATCGTATCATGATTACAACAAAATGAGTATAATCATAATTAAACCGTATCATGATTACAACAAAATGAATATAATCATAATCAAAATCATAACCGTAATATTAAAAAAAGGTAATTTAATTAAATATAATTAATTCATTAGTTATATATTTGAAAAATTATTTTTTACCCAAAACAAATTTATAAATATAGAAAAATATCATGAAGTGAAGGTCGGGGGTGTCGTGTAGAAGGTATATCCATAAATATATCGTCCCTTTCAAGATTCTTTTTTTCCTTTTTTCACTCTTTCTTATATTTAGAAATAAATTATGTTTAAAAAATATAATTTAAAGTTATTTAATTTGAAACATAAATATATCCCCCATGAATCTCAACGATTGCGTCACAACCCTTGTGGTTTGGCGAGTTAACCTCTTGACATGATTATAGATGCGTTTTTTTTAAATACGTTTTCTAAGAAATAAGTTGAATGATAATATGTTTTAATGAAATTGTTTCATATGCTTCTCTAAAATTGATTTAATGAAGATGATAATATCTATAATTAACACTTTACATAATGAAAATGACTAATCAACCTCTTATAATTACAAAAGATGAAGAAAAAAAATGAAAATTTATGATTGATTGAATGAGGTTTGCACGGTTGTACAAATAACATGGTTTGCAAAGTATACCTCCCATATATATATATACATATATATATATATAGAGAGAGAGAGAGGAGCGATCAAATACAAACCACCCATATTTGTATAAACCGTGCAAACCATCCTCATTCATCGATTTTATTGTTTAATCTTATGAAATTTGTTCATATAATACTTTTTTGATGAAATTGTTTCATATATGGTTATGAAATTGTTTCATTTAATACTTATGAAATTTTAATAAAACTGTTTAATTTATTTCTCTAAAATTTATATAATGAAGATGATAATATCTATGATTAACACCCTCCACAATAAAAAATGATTAATCAACCTCTAATAATTATAAAAAAATAAACAAAATGAAAAATTATGAATGATTGAATGAAGTTTGTACAAATAATGTGATTTGCAAAGTAAACCTCACACACACACACACACACACACACATATATATATATATATATAAGGGTCTAATCAAATGAGAACTAGATAGTTTGTGGTAACTGTGAGGTCTAATATGAGCCAATCATTTTAGATAATTAATGTTATTACTAAAATAAACCAAAGGGTAAATTAGTAAATTTTACAACTGATTAATGTAATCAAATCTTCTATCGCACGTCTCTCTCCCTCTCTCTACCATATACCTAAATCATAAAAGTCTTCATTTTCTTTATCCAGCTCACAGCTGACTCCCAAGACTCCCATATCATTTTCTTCATCAAATGTGGTTCTTCATAAAATATGGTTATTTGGCTTCTTCTTTGTTAATCCTACTTGATGAAGAAATCGGATCTGCAACTCCACCGTCAAGAACTTTGACACCACTGATGCCCCTTCCCCGTCCCCCTACCTCGACCACAACCATCACGGTATGTCAATATGGCCTCGTCCCTCTATCTATCTTTCTCTCCCCACACAGATTTGTGAACCCAAACTGGTCTCCTCCTTATCATCAGTTGTCTTTATCCCTTTCTTTTTCTTCTCTTGTTTAATCAAATCGACACCGATGATGAACTTCGACTATGAAAACTGATCAAAAGTTGGACGAGGAAAGCATGTTCTTTCGATGAGTAGGATCTCCGACGAAATATTCGAAGTATATCTTGACGCAGATGAAGAGATTTTTGCCATTTTGCTGTTCTCGATTTATCCGACGCCGAAATCCTCTTATCTTACATGATTCATTGATTAGGGTTTAAACGGTTCTGATTTGTGGGTATCACAATGGATATAATGGGTATCACAATAGGTATTCATCAACCAAATCTAATATCATAGTGGTATCACCGTAGTATTCATCAATTAGATATGGTATCATAGTGGTGTTACAGTGTGTTTTTGTTGTTTTACGAAGTGCATCACAATTATTTTTGTTGTTTTATGACGTGCAACACAATATATCAGGTAGTGTTGCTTTACTAAGTATATCACACCGTATTTTTTCGTTATTTTATGAAGGGTATCACAGTGTGCATCATGTATTTGCCAGAATAAGTTAGCCGAAATAAAGTTCGCCGAATAGAGGAGAGAAGAGAGAGGAGATATAAGATTTTTTAAATACATAAAATGCCCTTTAATTAAAATTTAAAGTCAAATTACCAAAATTATTAGTTTCCTAATCCATTGATTTGTGGTTAACATTGGATCTTACAATTATCACAAACTAACTAGTTCTCCCTAGAATGACCCCACATATATATATATATATATATATATATATATATATAGAGAGAGAGAGAGAGAGAGAGAGAGAGAGACTTGGGATCAAATGAGACTAACATGTTTTCGTGATACTCGTGAAACCATATTTTTACACTTGAAACTTCACAATAAAATACTGTGAATGTAACTTTCACATTATTTTTTATGTGAAGGTTCTGATTTTTTTTATCTTAATAATGTTTTGCTATGAAATTTCAAGTGTAAAAATGTGATCTCACGGGTCTCATAAAAACAAGTTGGTTTCACGTGAACCCAACCTTATGTGTGTGTGTGTTTGTTTGGGTGTATATATGTGTGTGTATATATACATATATATATATGTATATATACATATATATATATRTATATATACATATATATATATGTATATATACATATATATATATGTATATATATATATATATATATATATATGAGCATTCTTTTAAGAACCATACAATTTGTGAGATCCAATATAAACCACAAATTAGATTAGGAAATTAATAATTTTGGTAATTTTGAATTAAAATTTTAAATAAAGATTGTATGGATAATTTGAAAAGTGGTAGATATTTGAAAAATAAGGAAGTGATCATAGCCATTCATACGGTCAAGATCGAATTTGATTGGTCATAATTACGGCTTTGACTGGTAAAAAATAACGGCTATGCAAAAAATAGAGAGGATAGTTTCGTAACTTTACAAATAGACAACAAACAAGTTCATATATGAACCTATATGATTCACATATGAACTACATGTTCATATGTGAACTCGTGTAATTCACATATAAACTATTTTAACTGATTTTGCATATAAACCTGTGTGATTCACATATGAACTGATTAATTGATTCACATATAAACCAATGGATTGCTTTATTATAGCTTTTTGATTCGTCGGGTATGCTGGCTAAGAGAACCACTTCTCGCTTTGCTTGCAAGATGATACGTACTAAGTATTTAGTACGTAAAGTACATGTTTATTCTCTTTTAGATAGGTTATTTTCCATTTATATCCCAACTTTGAGTCATTTTATCTATTTTCTCTGTTTTTATGCTAAGAAGAATGATGAACCTGTTTTTAGTGGATTTTGGTCTAAATTAAGCTCATTTTGAACAGATTGGAGCAGGTCAATGCTGTGGGAATGTGGTAACATGACCTGAAGGTAGATGAAGAGAAAGATAAGACTTGGAGTTGACTTACATGACCATATGAAGACATTTGAGAGCCTTCTAAAGTTGAACCAGCTGTAGTTTAATCAGATTAGCTGGAGTTTACAAGAC